TTCCCTTCAGTCTACACAGCTTGATGGAACGGTGGGGATACAGAAATACAAATGTCAAATTTCCAGTACTTCAGAGCTGTTGTTTCGTGAACCGAATTCCAAAAATAGGATAAGATGCCAAGAAAAGTATTAAAAATGGATTTTTCTGGGTTATCTAGCTCATACTGAATTTTTGATCAGATGCTAATACGTCTCTTACCATCACAATCATATATATTTACAACTCAATAAGCATATCTATGATTCAGTGTTACATTTAAGATTATAAAAGGAGATCTGTCTAGAAATCAAATCTGAGGTGCACTTCTCTGGTCTCAAAACACAGAGCAAGATTACACTGGATAATCACAGCTTTCAAAACGAGAAAAAGCTAAATTTTCCAGGATCGTGATTTCACAGTAGAAAACAGACAATCATGCATGTTTCAAATTACATCTAAATTTATCTTCTTTCTCCACTGCAAACAATATTTCCACTTTGCAACCATGAATTTTGCATTCTTGACACCTATAATTCAAACAGCAGAGCAAAGAAAAGATGAGAAGACTGGATTTATTTTTACTCCAAGAACCTTTAGCTGTAAGCCAAGATCTTAAACAAGGAAATGAAAAATATTTTTAACTCTGGTGGCAGCACTCAGACCCTTGTGAGGGTAACCGAAATACCACAACTATGATTGTCAGGATTCCATGCAGAGAATCTGGAGCAGCATTGGGTTTAGTGATGCTATGTGCTGAGTGACCTCAAGTTTCAAGAAGGAAAGTTGGAATCATAGAATATCCTGAGTTGGAAGGGACCCACAAGGATCACTGAAGTCCAATTCCTGGCTCTGCATAACTTTTGCATATGCAAAATGCTGAAACAATTTCTAGATGTAGAATAAGCTAAATATGCTTGAGCAAAGAATCCTATAGAAAAAAGGGAATCCATAGAACGGACAAAAGAGATAGGCTGCTTAAAAAGTTCTCAATTTAGTACTTCCTCTGGAGCCACTGAGGGATGCTGCTTAAAAAATTAATTACAGCTAGCAAAGCACTTGATATCTCATATGTGACATCAAGTCACCCAGTGTGAATTCCCAGTTCAACTTTCAACTGTACATTAAGACTTGATGAAATGCTATATCTGAGAAAGCTGTCACAAACCACAGCACATAGAAGGTAGTTTGCCTCTCAACAACACAAGTCTTTCGCTTTTGCTCTAACTTGCAATGATGATGGCAAAATCGCTTAATTCTGCACTGCATTTTTCATCTGGAGGTCTGTGCACCTCACAGTCTATAGAACATTATAAAAACTGAAGATCACACAAGAACTGAAGGCTGATGTGAAAGCTACTTAATGCATACATAGCCATGCATGATGGATATGACACTGTGCTGAATCAAAATAATGGGACAAATCTTGTTCTCACTGATTTAGAGAATTTTGCTGTTCCTTCAATAGGCCAGTCAGTAGAGCTCTGTGCCACCCTGCTGCCTGCACAATGCATGACATGCGAAGACACTAACCTGTTTCCAAAGACTACACTGGAAAAGTCTGCAATGAAATCTTCTGGTATCCTGAAAGAGAAGAGCAACATAAATCAGTAAAGTTTTTTTCTAACCACAGTTATATAGCCTTATCTAAAAAAACCCAAACCTTAATTCTATTACAGAACACAAAAGATGTGTCAACATTTTCCATCTTCCATTGCCTAAAACTGCCATCAGTTCTTATGTAAGCACTTCAGTATTGATTCTGTTGGGGCTCTCAAAAGGACAGTCTATGTTTTTATATCAAGAACCGTAAAAACTGTATTACATCTTCCTGTCCTGCCTAGTATGGCAACAGTAGGTTTCAAAAGAACCCAATATTTGCCTACCTTCTCTCAGTAAAGCAAGGAGTCTGACAAGTGCAGAAGGCAGGCCAGCAGTGCATGCTTTCAAAAATTTCAAACCTACACAGTTCATTTCATAGAATCATAGAATCTACCAGGTTGGAAGAGACCTCAAGGATCATCGAGTCCAACCCTACTGTCATTACTAGACCATGGCACTTTCACCTGAAGCATAATTAAAAGACAGAGGAATTGCTCCCTCAAAAGTAAACCAGAGGCCCTTGTAGCTGAGACTACTTACAAAAGAAGCATATCTAACATGGGAAGGATAAGCACAAATTTGATGGGGACCATGAGAACTGGTTGAATAGACTAACTCACACTCCATCCGCCCTGTGTCTCTCCACTCCTTGACCTTTCCTCTGACACTGCTGTGGCCTTACAAACAGGTTGCTGTTGATTTTCAGTTCAATAGATCAGGCTGTGAATTGCAAAGACTGCAGAGCAAACACTATCCATTCAGCTGCCTTTGCCACAGGGACAGTTAACCTCCTACAGAGAGGCAAGTTGGACAAGCGAGAGAAGTAACTACTGCTGCTGCCACAGTTAAATCCAGCATTCAGCATGAATCAGTGCCCAGAGACATTACTCACCAGTGGCTTGAGACACACAGCAGTGTATCAAAGAAAAATCAAAGCAAAGTTACCTGTCCTAAAGAGCTTACAATGTCTAATGATGGGAGAAAAACCAACTAATAACTCGCACAGTGGGAAGATGAAACAGCAGTTACTAGAGCTTGAATTCCTAATGGGAGAGGTGGGGTTAAACCACATTTTAAAATGGTGCTGGGATAAAAAGGAATTCATTTTAGCAAGCACTATAACAGTGCTCTTTTGTCTGCATGAATCTGTCTTTCAGAAGAGACAGGACTATTTCTGCAAACATTACTTTCCATGCAAGTGTATCATTTAACCCATCCTGATGATGACTGGAAATCCTCTCTATGCAGTGAATAGCTGGAGACAGAGAGTTGTAATATGATTATTATGATACCTATCACAATACTTGCTTGACTGTAAGAGCAAGTGGTACTAAAATAGAAGCATTAACACTACCTTTGAGTTTGCATTATTTTTACTGTGCAGTCAATGGTTTTGCTGAAAACTCTCCTCCTGGCTCAAGCAGCTTACATGAGGGCAGTCACACACTAAGCAGATCAGAGAGAGCAAGGCACAGCTCAGCCTGAGCTACAGATGGCAATCAGTTTCCAAAGGAACATTCTGAGGAAGGGACTCAAAGGGCAAGAAATGTGTCAGGATGTCTCAATCCCATGTTATTGGCCTGAGCCATGAAGTTATTAAAACAATCTGAGATGGGAGGTAAAAAAATAGCACCCACAATTTAGAGTGAATTTATTCTCACTGGCTCAGCCACTCAGGCTAAGAAATAGGGAATATAGAATGGCATCCCTCTGAAAACAGTAGTACTGATCTAGTGAATCAGAAGTGGGCATGTGTCCCAGCCTCTCTCTCCACCAAAACTAGAAGCCAAGACCAGGTACCTCACCAGCAAACTGAGAATTACAAGACTTTACATGGAAGGAATTAGCTCAAGCTTCAGATTCACTGAAGGAAACAAAACAGAATGCAGGAAGTAAAAAAAAGAAAAAAAGGTACCCTGGTGCAGAGCTCAAAGCTTTTAAAGGAAGACTCAACAAAAAAAAAAAGAGGGAAATAAGCCATTTCTTCTTCCTTGAAAGGAAAACCAGCTGTCCAAACACTGGACGGCATTAATATCAAGACACTGCTGTTCAACCAGTTATATGTGTTCTTCATGCATGTGATCACAGGATGACCCACAGGAGCCACTGCAGGAGGGTAAGTGTCTGAATGTAATTCGTAAGTGCCTTGAAACCAGCAGGCATTTCATCTCCCAACCCAAGTGCACTGGGAAACATAGGAAATGACATTTCCCATATGAGCTGAAGATGCTTAAGGTGCTACCAAATTTGCTAAGTATCACAGCCTGAGAGCAGAATAAGCTATTTAGTCTTCTAAACGTTTAGCCACAAGGTGGAGAGAGGTACTCACAGCACATAAGACTATCAGAAATGGAAGTTAGGAAGAGCCCCAATACTGTGAGAATCATGGGAGCATAGCAGCAACAAGCAGCACATAAAACATACAAGTCTGCAAGCAATACAAATGCAGTTACCTGAGCTATTGCTGCTACGTCAGTTGCATTAACCAGAACAAGAAAAGATTCATCAAGACATAAAACACATAAATAAGATTATCCAGACTGAAAAGTGTCTGAATAAAGTACATGAATAAACCAAAGTGAGGAAAAAAACCCCAAACACAACTACAACTGTAAGGCATTAAAGTGTGGTCAAATGATAAGGACAGGGATGTGGAAGTCTGTATTTCTA